AGTCAATTTGATGTGTTCTGAATTGAGTTTATTCCGTAGTAGACCCCTTTTTCCTTTTTAATTCACCGTGTCTCTCTCGTGGACAGTCATTTTGTTGGTGCACTATTTGGAATCATGAGGTTAAATATTGTTTTATGTTAGTGATCATGATCGTGCCTGTAGTCTCACAGGTTTGGAATTTACTGCTACGATCGAATCAGCAGGTAAATTGTATGCATGAGCTAAAAGGGTTTGGAGTCTTTGGTGATCAACTTTTTTTTTTGTTTTTGAGTTTGTTGCATCTCTTGAGATTCACATTTTAACACCTATTCTAGTTAAGAGGTCTTCGCGAGGCCATATACGGTACCGAATAGAGAAAAGCGATTTGGATAGACGATCGAACTATTTTGATGGAGTGGGGCTGAAAGAAACACGATTTGTACGTGCCAAAAATGGATTGCATTATCATTATTTTTTTAAAAAAAAAAAAGAAAAAATCAGTTTTGAAATTTCAAAAAATGGATAGAGGAATAAACTAATATTTATTTGTTTCGGACCGAACAGTTTGATCTAATCTTTTGTAAAGTAGGAAGAACAAACGTCAGCTGATTTCAGTAGCAATTTAATTTATTCAATCAATCCCCGAGCTGTAGGTCTCTTTTTATCTTGCCGAACTATTTGGGATGTCGCACTACCCCCCTGCAGTATACCGTTTCCGTATTTAACCGTTCCGGAGACAGTTGAAGTGAGGAGGTTAAAAACGCCATAACATTGAGAGAAGAGGATTTATTTGAATGTAGCTCCATAATTGATGACTGCAAAGTCCTACTATGGCTATCGGGTAGGTCTGATATCACAATTACTTGGGGTTTGTAGGGAAAGCTAACATGGTAGTCCATAGCATTGTGGAATAATAATAATAAATAAATAAATAAATATCAAAATTTTAGAGAAAAAGTTGGTATACGAGTTCTTTACTGTTAAAAATAATAATAATAATAATAATAAATATCAAAATTTTAATATTTTTTAATTAAATAGACTAAAAACTTAAATTCTTTAATTTTCGTGTAACGCCCAACTATTTTTATTATTTTATTTTATTTATTAATTCTATATAAATATAAATATGTATTAATTGAATTTAATTTATTTTAATAAAAATAGTAATAGTAATAATAATAAAAATTGTTTAAGAAATTAATTGAAAATAATTTTTAAAAAAAATAGGTGAAAATTTAAGTTATAATGGTATTTTTGAAAGAAAAATCGAAAACTGATGGTCAAAACGCAATTTAAAAAAATTGTGCCACGTCAGCTGCCCCAACCAACCAGGACGCGCCAGGTGGCAGAGACGCTGACGCGGGAGGGAGCCACGTGGGCGATTCACGTGTGCACGATCGAACGACTGAGATCCGTTCCTGTGCGTACGGACGGCCCAGATCAAAAACGTACATAGACGGCTCAGATTGGATCGCGCACGGACGACACAGAT